GGGGGGCGGAGCAGGGAGGGGGGCGGGCAGGAGTAGAGCTGAGGGGAATCCCAGGTTGAACTGACATTTCAGGGGCAAGGGCCAGACAGCCTTGGGCTCCGGTCCCCCTCGGTCCCTCCCTGACCCCAAGTGACCCCAGGCCAAGCCCTCAAATCTCTGAGCTTCAGTCCCCACCCCCGCCAAGAAGCCCCCACCGGCAGCCCTCTGACTCCCAGGGTCCCAGTGGGGCACTAGCCTGTGAGTGCATTTGTGCAAAGGAGACAAGACCCTCTGTCAGATGGGCAGGATTGTTTTCCCAGGGCTGACTCAGGCAGCTCAGCAGTCTCCTGGGGCCTCTGGAGCCTCCCACCCGCCCTTGGCCATGACTGGAGGAGGGGGCCGGGGGCTGGGTCAGTCCCCTCCCCAGGCAGCCATCTGCCAAGGCAGGAGTACGTGTGCACACACATGTCGCACGCTGCATCACGGGGCTCCCCCTGTGGCGGGTACTACCTGGCTTCTCAGGCATTGAAGACAAAGGGCCTGAGGAAGCCCCAGCCTCTCCCCAGACCCCCAGTCACAGCACTGGAAGATTCTAGTCCCTCTGCCCATCCCCCACTGGGGGCAGCTGGAGCAGATGGAAAGTGCCCCCCCCCACACACACCCCAATGCTGGAATCACTTCACATCTCCGTGCCCCCCAGGCTCCTCCCAGTCTGACCACCAGTTAACCAGAAACCTCCATCCCATCTGGGAGGGGAAGGAGGAGAGGAAGGCCAGAGCTCCCGCCCCTCAAGATGCCCAGAGCCAAGGCCTCTACCCTGCCCAGCCTGAGGGCGCTTGGAGAGAAGCATCCTAGCCAGGATGGCAGGTCAGGCTCTGGGGCTCCCTGGGGACCAGCTGTGTAGAGGCCCCCAGAGCTCCCCGGGGAGGGTCCCACAGCACCAGAGCTGGAATGGGAAGAAGGGCCAGGGACCCTCTCACCTCCATGGAGCAGTCTGCAACTCAGGCCAGCAGGATCCGTGTCAGGAAAAGGGTGGGGTTTGGGGGCCCACTTGGGTTCCCCTCAAGAGCAGGATCCCTTCCTATCCCAGGCTGGGAAACTGACCACCAGATACCATCGCCCAGACCAGCCAGAGCAGACCGAGGAGCTTGGGCCCAGATGCCCACTGGCCCTGTTCCATCCTAAGCTTTAGTTTCTTCATTTGTCAGTGATCAATGGATCTTCCTCACAGGGTTGATGGGGCAATTTCAGGTGACAGATGTCCACACCTGCCAACTTCCCGGGGCCATTGGAAGGCACTGATTTTTTTCAGGGAGTTCTTCCCCCCATGCTGCTCCATCCCTTGACCCCGTGGGCATGCCCATCCCTGCCTCCCTAGGGACCTCAGCTGGTATTGTTATTAGCTGGAGTGCAGCAGGGGTTTGCAGGGCTGAGTTGGGGCCCCCGGAGAGAAACCAGGGTCTGCCTACTTGGAGCTGCGCCCCTACACAGGAACCCCCAGCAGCACATCCTTTCCTGTCCAGCATCAAAGCTTCAACCCTGGCTGTTCAGCAAAGCACGTGGAGGTGGAAAATGCTGAGTCCCCACCCCTGGCCGCACCTGAATCTGAATGGGGATTCACCAGGGGTCGCTGATTCACTGGGGCAGATGTGTACCATGGGCTTTGCAAAAGCTGTGGTCCTCCACACCCGGGCTGGGTGGCAGGCTGGGGAAAGGCCGGGTGTCCCATCTCAGAGAGGTGACACCCAGACACATGGCTGGGCCACCCACCTCTACGGCCCTTTTACAAGGGAACCAACTCAGGCAAGTGAGAGCCGCCTCTTTCTGGCTGGCCCTAAGCTGCCCCCTCACCAGCCAGGGGCGCTCCCCACCTCTGGGTGAAGGGGGGACCACCCAGCACCTTCCACCAGTCACCCTCTGGCCTCCATCATCTGTGTGAAATATAAATTTACAGTAAGAACCCGGAATAGAGGGAGGCTTCTCTGCAGCCTCAGAAAAGGCTCTTCCCCCTCTTCTGCCCAGCTCAGGGCCTCTCCACTGCGAGCTGAACTCCCCGCTTGGGTGAGGGGCCTCCACAGCCTCCCCTGGTACACAACCTGGGGAGACATCCGGTGCCGGAGGGGACAGCCAGAGCGGCCATCTCCCCCACCAAACCCCAGTGTGCCTCCCAGCACCAGGGCCCCACCCCAAACGCCAGCCCCAACATCTGGTCCCCCAGCCACAGCTGTCGCCACCCTCCCTCATCCTGGGATTGCCCCAAACTCTGCCCAGCACCCGTCCCCACCCCCTCGCCCAAGTGGGAAATTCGGATTCCAGGCAAGTCAGGGTAGATGAAAACGCACATGGGAAAATGTCGTCAGGAAAACACATTCTTCCTTCTATACCGCAGTTCAGACCCCGGGAGGATTAGGTGGCAGAGGACACTCCCACCGCCTGGGGCCAAGGCCAGGCCAGGGAAGGAGGGGAGAGGGGAGTGCGGGGCTGCAAGGTGGGGCCGGGAGGGGTACAGGGGCCCCTCACAGGCCCCAAGGAGGGGTCCTGACAGAGCTTTGTCTTCCTGCAGGGCAGCTGGCCCTCCGCGGGCACTCCCAGCGAGGGGAGCCTGGGCAGAAGACATTGCTGTGGCCATACCCATCTGCAGCTGGCTTTTTAGAAACAACAAAAGCTTTGGGGGGACGCGGTTCACACGATTGTTTGAAATGAGGTTTTTGGATGTCTGTGGCATCCAGTTATTCATGCTGGCTCCACCCACGGATGATTGAGAGTTGGCTTTTGTTGGCCTGACCCCACGTCTCAGTACCCCCCAACCAACAAGTCTTCTCATGGACTCCAGCTCGGGAAGCTCACCTTGTCTGACCTCTTGGTTTTACGGATGAGGAAACTGAGACCTAGAAAGTGGGGGGGGGGGGGTGTTGTTGGCCCAAGGGCCCCTGGGAGTTGGTGGCCTGGCCCAAGCTCAAATCCAGGATATCAGATTCCCAGGCCAGGGGCTTTTCCCACTCACCCTCAAGGCTGTGGCCTGGCTCTCGCGAATCCCCCAAAGCCACTGACTCTAAAAGCAGTGGTGCCTGGAAGTGGGGTGACTCACTGTCTGGCTTCCTGGGGCGCCCCCTCCCCATCAGTGAGGGAGGGACTGGCAGGTGTCCCTGTGTAGAGAGCCAGGAGTAGGGAGAGGCCCCCCCAGGGGACCTGGGCCAGGGTCACTCAGGGGCCGAAGAGCCCCAGCTGGAGGGATTTAACACCAAAGGTCAAAGGTCACAGACAGGGAAGGGCGGGCAGGCTCTGGGGGTCACAGGGTCAGCGCTAATGGCAGCTCCGGAAAGGAGGGGGAGGGTAAGGAGCTAAGGAAAACAGGGCGGCTTCCAAGGGGTCCTCAACCCCCATAAACTGTGCCCCAACCCCCTGGCACTGCCTCCTGCCTGGATGGTTGCAGACAGGGCCCAGCAGAGCTGGGGGTGGGTTGTAAAATGGGCTGGGCTGGAGCCTGGAAAGGGGTGTCCTGGGAAGGGCTCCCCAGGTGCAGCCCCTCCCCCAGAGTGGGCCAGGGCCAGCTGGGAGGCCCAGCCCCGGCCCAGAGGGGAGAAGGAGGAGCAGAGGGGGAGGCTCCGAGGTCACGGGGAGAGGTGTGTGGGCCGGGCTGGAACAGCTGTGGTACTGTGGCACCAGGAGTGGGGCTTGGAGAGGATTGGGTGGGTGGGCAGGCCGAAGGGGCCAGCTTCCCCTTCCCTGAGCTTGGGAGCTAAGGAAGGCCCTGGGGGAGCAGGGTGGCTCTCGCTGTTCTCTAGCTTCAGCTAAGCACCACCTTCCCTCCAGGATGTAAGCCCCTCAGGAAGGCTGCCTCTAAAGACCACAGCTCAGGCCCTGGCCCTGGCCTAGACCAAGAGCCACAAGAGCCCAGGCCTTGGCCAGGTCCCCGGCTGGCCTGGCTGCCCCCTCAGTGTCAAGCGTTCCCTTCAGAGCCAAGATCCCGGGCTGTGATGGCTGGGGGCCCAGGGCTCCTCCCAGGATCCCTTCCCGCTTCCCAGGCCCCAGGGCAGGGCCAGGATTCCTGCAACCATCACTGCCCCAGGGTGGCCAGGCCAGGCGGGCCCTCCCTGACAGAGGGAGAGGCAGCATGCTGCCCTGCTGTGGCCTGAGTACCCGACTGGCCAGGGCAGTGTGCCAAGGCCTCCAGGTGCCAGCCTGGATTCCAGCCCCATTCCAGGGGGCCTGCAGGGAAGCAGGGTGCCAGCATCTCCCTTCCTCGGCCTCTCCTTCCGTGGGCATGCACCTGCCTCACCCCCTCCCCCACTCCCTCCAGACCCTCCTTCAGGCCGTTGGATACCCCTGCCCTCTTCACTTTGCCAGGTTCTTCTGCTTCCACCCAGACAGCAGAGGAGGACGAACAAGTGCCAGACAGGACTCCGGCTCCCAGTCCTGACGCGCGGGCACCCCCTGTCCTGACCCCCAGGGACGCCTCCCTCCCCCGGCCCAGGAAGGGCCCAGGCTAGCCAGTGGCAGCAGTGGGGAGACTTTCCGGGACAAGGGAGGAGACACCTTTCAAACCCCGTCCTAGAAACAGCCCCGGCGCAGCCGTGGGAAGGGGCGGCTGCCCCGCTGCCCCAGACAACTTCGTGCCCAGGCTCCGGGGGGCCCCCCTCTCACCCCGCAGCGCGCCCCCACCGCGGCCGCCCAACTTCCCCGCCGAAGTTTGCTCCCGCCCTGGGCCCGGCCGTGGCTCGGCCCGGCCTCCGGACGGAGGGAGGGAAGGAGGGAGGAGAAAGACGGAGAGACGGAGGGACGGGGCCGGGCAGCCGGCGAGGGAGGGAGCGCGCGAGCCAAGCGAGCGAGGGAGCGAGGGAGCGAGCGCAGGGGCCCCGGCGAGGGCTCACAATGGCCCGGGGCGAGGCGCGGACGCGGGAGGAGGAGGCGACCCTCGGGTCCCGCAGCCCCCCGCAGCCCCCGCGCGACAGCCCAGCACCCCCCCTCCCCGCCGCCCGCCCATGCCCGTCCCCACGGCGCGACGCCCCGGGGCTTCCTACCTCGGCGGCGGGGGCGGTCGGGCTCCCGGCTGCGGGCTCCGGCGGTCGGGGGGCGGCGGGGGAGCGAGCGGGGAGGGGCCGGGGCGGGCGGGGGCCGGGGCGCGAGGCTCACGCGGCGCGGGCTCCCCTGGCACGGCCGCCCGGCGCCCGGCCGCTCCGCCACATCTGCAGCTCCGGCAGGGAAGGTGGCCGCGGCGGCCGGGCCGTGCGGGGATGTCTTAGAGAGGGAGGGAGGAGGGAGGAGGGAGGTGGCGGGAGGAGGGCCGGGCAAGCCTCGGAGGAGGGGGAGGAGGAGGGGCGCGGGGGGCGGCCTTGCTCCCTCCTCCCTCCCCCGCTGGTTCCCTCGCGCCCGCCCTCCCAGCAAACTCCTCTCGCCGCGGCGGCCCCAGGCCCGGGGCGCCAGCTGCCAGGCGGGGCGTGCGCGTCGGGGGGAGGGGGCGGCCGGGAGCCGGCCCTGGGCCGGGGGAGGGGAGGGAGAGAGGGCGGTGGGGCGGCAGGGCCGCGGGGAGCGGGCACCGGGAGTGAGGGGGCGCCGGGCCGCGGCCGGGCGGCGCGCGTCCTCCTCGGCCCCATCATCGGGTACCCCCCCCCGCCGCGCCCCGCCCCGGCCCGAGGGCAGCGCTGGGACACGGCCCGGAGGTGGCCTGGGGATGTCGGGGGCGGGGGGGGAGGGATGTCCCGCCCTTGGGGAAGCCCGGGGAGGGGGCAGGCGCGCGGGTGACCGGAGGGAGGGCGTGCGGGCCCAGAGGAAAAGCCCCGAGGACCGGGAAGATGGAGGAGGTCGCTGCGGCCGAGGGGGCGGGGGCCTCTCGCCTCCCTCCCGCGGGGTCACCTTGGCCAGGCCCCCCACGGCCCGGGGCGGCGGGGAGGGCGGCAGGAATGCCTCTCCGCAGGCCCTGGTTTCTCCGCCCAGCCCAGTTCCAGGAACGCGCGGGCAGCGCCCGCCAGGCAGAGGCCCCGGCTCCGGATTCGGGGAGGCGCAAGCCAGGGTTCGAGGCCGGGATCAGACCCTCCCTCCTGTCCCACGCCGGGCTGGTCCCCGCCTTGCCCTCGGCCTCAGTTTCCCACACAGTGGAATTAGGACGAGGTCTGGCCGGGAGCAGTCCGGGCTTCCGCTCGGCCCCAGTCTTGGTCCCAGCAGTTGGGACAACCTGCGTCCCCAACCTGAGCGCCGCGGGGGTCCTTGGCCTCGCCGGAACCCCGCGGTTAGGAGGTGGAAGGAGTGGATGCCGGCGAGTGCTAAAGCCCCGCACCCGCCTAAGCTGTCTTTTCCCTCCTAATGTTGAACCCAGACTCGAGTTCTTGAGTGTGTTTTGTTTGGGCCAATCTGGAGCCCCTGCCCGGTTATCTCGCTGCTGTGCTGTCGGGTGGCAAATCTTGGTTCAAAAACAGCCCTCCTGCTATTGGCCAGCCCCGCCGCCTCGCAGCTTTGAGGAGTCCAGGAGAGGAAAAGCCTCCTCTTGTAGATGAGGCACCTGACTCCCGGTGTAATTTCGCCTTCGTGTGTGTATTTGATGCCGCTGTCCGCCGCCAGAGCCGGAGACCGGTGGGTCTCGATCACACAGCATCCTCAGCTCCTGGCACAGCTCTTGGCACATAGTAGGTGCTCCAGACATGTTGCACGATGGACACAGGATAGGTGCTCATTACATGTTAAGCTGATGTACATATAGTTGGTGCTCATGACTTTTGCATAAATGGACACAGAGTTCCTGCTCTTAAATTGTTACATGAACACACAGTAGATGCTTATTGTATTTTGGGCAAATGGATACATAGTTGGTGCTTATGATGGTTGCATGAATGGACACATAATAGGTACTCATGACTTACATAAATAGACACAGAGTAGGTGCTCATGAATTGTTGGGTGATACGTGAAAGACCTGTAGGCCTGGAAAGTAGCGATTTGGAGGTGACCTCCCCTGCCCCCACCCCACCCCGATTTCCCTCCTGTGGATAATGTGGAGTGAGACCGGGTTAAACATTAGCCGGCAGATGGGCCTGGGGGCAGGCTAGCTTTGGGACCTAGCACCTTCCAGGAGGGGGCTGTTAAGGGCCGACTCTCCCGGTCCGCTGGGTGCGTGGGGAGGGGCAGAGGCTGAGGGCCGCAGAGCGCCCCCTCCCGGCGCCTGGGATCTCGGCGATCCAGGCCGCAGCGCGGCCCGGTAGCCAGAGGCATAGAGTCGTTCAACCTCGCCAGGTCCGGCTCCAGCCCTGGGGGAATCGAGGTATATTGAAAAAACGGTGCACAAGGGGCTACTTTTTTATCTGTTAATAATGCTTACGGCGTGCTTGCAGGATGCCAGGCAGTGTGCAGCAGTGGAGACAAGAGCGAACAACCTCAGCTGTCCTTGCCCTCATGGGTCTCACAATCAGTCTGGTCGGACCTGAATCCAGTGACCAGGGAAATCCAACGACCTCCGCGCCATGTGGGGCACTTGACCATAAGAAACCTTTACACCTGGAGGTCCTTTCTCATCGTTTTTCTACACACACTTGTTTTCACGGACAAGCAGGTTGCTCCCAGTGAGAACTCTGAGTTGGGATTCCCACCTTGGGATGATGACTAATATCTCCTTTTTTTTTAAAGATGTTATTTATTTATTCGAGATACAGGGAGCACAAGCAGGGGGAGGGGCAGAGAGAGGGATAAGCAGACTCCCCGCTGAGCAGGGAACCCTACCTGGGAGTGGGGCTCCAGGCAGGGGGGCGGGGAGGTGCTTGATCCCAGGACCTGGAGATCATGACCTGAGCTGAAGTTAGACGCTTAACCGACTGAGCTACCCAGGCGCCCCAAATGAGGTACATTCTTAACACATACTAGCCATCACTACCTGGTGTCCACATTCTAGGACCCAGATGGAGTCCCCTTAGCTGCAGATAAACCCCTAAATTTGGCTTTTGCAAATCCAGTAAGAGTGAAGACTGTATAATCTTGGTGGAGCTGACCCAACCAGAAACCCCCAATTCTCAGGCAGAGCAGTTCTTTCTCTATACCAGATACTTTTTTTTTTTTTTTTGAGTAAGCTCCAGGGGCGCCTGGGTGGCTCAGTCGTTAAGCGTCCGCCTTCGGCTCAGGTCATGATCCCAGGGTCCTGGGATTGAGCCCCACATTGGGATCCCTGCTCGTCAGGAAGCCTGCTTCTCCCTCTCCCATTCCCCCTGCTTGTGTTCCCTCTCTCTCTGTGTTTCTCTCTGTCAAATATATAAATAAAATCTTTAAAAAAAATAAAGTAAGCTCCATGCCCAACCTAGGGCTTGAACTCACCACCAGTCAGGCACCCCCAAATGCTTTACTTTTATTATATTCACAATAACCCTGAGGGTGAGTCCTATTATTATTCCCATTTTACAGAGAAGGAAACTGAGGCACAGAGAAGTAACTTGGCCAAGGTCTTAGAAGCTAGTGGGAGGCATAATCCAGATTGCAGTCTCAGTTGATCTGATTCTAAATCTTGTGTTATAACCCACTATCTCCTTGGAGCATCAGATAACTTATGGCATCGGGTGCAGGATATCCAAGAGCGCCAGGCTCTGAAGGGGTTTTTTTGGGTTGTGCTTTTCTGGGAGGCAGCATCTGCTATAGCAGTCAGGTCAGGCTTGGCTTCCTCTTTCTTAGTGAAAGGTGGGTAAGGAGGGATGTCCTCCTCCCATTACCCTGGGTTTCCTCCCTCTAAGAATCCTTACTCTGAGCACCCAAACTTTGGTACTTGCTCCCCTCCCTTGTGTTATGGACTATCTCCCCTACTAGACTGTAAGTTCCCAAGTTCCCCAAAGAGTAGGACACAAGAGCATTATCTGCTTTGTCACACCCCCTGCAGGGTCCTGCCCAGGGCCTGTCCCATAGCAAATGCTTCATAAATATTGCTGCATAAATATTTCTGTTACGAATGTTTGTGTCCCCCCCAACTTCATATGTTGAAGCCCTAACCACCTCCTCAATGTGATACTATTTGTATATTGGGCCTTTGGTAGGTAATTAGGTCTAAATGAGGTCATGAGGGTGGGGTCTCCGTGATGGGATCAGTGGCCTTATAAGAAGAGGAAGAGAGATCAGAGCTTCCCCTGCCCCCTGGCCATATGAGGACACAGCAAGAAGGTAGCCATCTGCAAGCAAGGAAGAGAGTCCTCACCAGGTACTGAATCTGCCAGCACTTTGAACTTGGACTTCAGCCTCCAGAACTGTGAGAATTAATGTGTGTTGTTTAAGCTACCCAGTCTGTGGTATTTAGTAATAGCAGCCTGAGCTAAGATAATTGCTGATAGGTATATTTGGGGGGCTGAATCTGGTCTCCTAAACTTTCAACAATAAACTTTTTTTTTTTTAGATTTCATTTTATTTTTTTGACAGAGAGAGACACAGCGAGAGAGGGAACACAAGCAGTGGGAGAGGGAGAAGCACGCTTCCTGCGGAGCAGGGAGCCCAATGCGGGGCTTGATCCCAGGACCCTGGGATCATGACCTGAACTGAAGGCAGATGCTTAAAGACTGAGCCACCCAGGTGCCCCTGGAGCTTACTTAAAAAAAAAAAAAGGGCGCCTGGGTGGCTCAGTTGGTTGAGCGACTGCCTTCGGCTCAGGTCATGATCCTGGAGTCCCTGGATCGAGTCCCGCATTGGGCTCCCTGCTTGGCGAGGAGCCTGCTTCTCCCTCTGACCCTCCCCCCTCTCATGTACTCTCTCTCTCTCTCTCATTCTCACTCTCTCAAATAAATAAATAAATCTTTAAAAAAAAAAAGTATCTGGTGATGCTTAGTAAATGACTCGTCAATTAGTGCACAATGCTGGGTCCAGAGAAACTCAGCAGTAAAAGCACAGTTCCTGTTTTTCCAGAGCCTTAATCTATTCGAGGAGCTGAAAGTAAATAATACAAGACAGCATAAAGAAGTGAGCCTTGTGACCTACATTGTAGATGTAGGAGAGACAACTGGAACCAGGATGGATGAATGGCAGCAAACCCCAAGCTCCAGCTCTTGACCTTAGCCAAGCCATGGGTTCTCTCTATGCCTTAGTATCCCTATCTGTGAAATGGTGATCCTCATGCCTATTATGGGTTTGTGGGAGCCTCAGTGCAGAGGGCATAAGAGGGCTTCCGATGCCTGGTGGGGAGAAAGAGTGCAACAAAGAATAGCTATTGTTATTAAT